AAAGAAAACACATAACACCTTTAACAACCGATGAACAATTTATTTCATTATAATTATATTTTGAGTTGAGAGTATTTCACAAACAAATACCATCTTCTTTGATCTGTATTATTAGAACTAATAATAGTCGACTGATGTTAGATTATTGTTGCATTTTTTTTATATGAGCATAAAAATCTTCTGAGTATAAAGTTATGCACATATTCATGTCAGATTCATCTGTTAAAGTTTAAAAAATGAAACCTAATGAAATAGTTGTCAAAAATGACTATTATTGTTTTTTAATAGACTATAAATCAACATTACCACATGGCCAATTCTAACAATTATACATCTAGAGGAGTTGCATAACGGAAAGGGTTGTGATGTTTTACACATATGTGCTTTGTGGCTAGAATAACAGTTGATCTAGTCATGTGGTATTGGCAATGTGTGGGTTTAGAGGATTTAATTTGAAAATAAAATTAATCTAACAGTTATTTTCCTACATAGAAATAAACATCAGCTCTTTATTTAAGAATAATGAGTTAAAAGAAACTAATTTAACTGAAAAAGATTTAGGTATTTTTCTTTTCTTTTTTTATGGAGAGACCAAGTCAGAGCAAAAGGGAATGAACGAAAAAAAAAAACAGTATTGTGAATGGTATGGCAGAGACATAATTCTTTGTACTACTTATAAGGCTACTATAAATACTACTCATATTCAAATACAGCATTTGATATTAAGCATAAAGAACAGATATTTAAGGGTTTTGACCAAACTGTATTAATGTCACTTAAGGGCTCAGTGTTAAGATCTTTTCTCTTTTTGATATTAACATCTTTATATGCTTTTAAGTTTAAAGTAGTACTTTGTGCAAATTCATAAAAAAACAGTAACAATATACCAGCATAATAATGCACAAACGATATATTTTGTTAATTCTTTAATAATTTAAGCATTATTATGCTGGTGTGTTATTACATTATTTTAATTAAGTTATTTGGGAACTTTTAATGCTGAAACAAAACTTAAAAGTCAAATTACCAAAGCCAGTAGCTTTGTGGAATGAAACCTCTAGTTGCACTAACACTCTACAATTCAAAAAACCTACACTGAAGGTTAAAACTTACACTACCCCTGTGTCAGTAGTCATGAGTACATTTACTAGTAGAAGTACTGCTAACCCTAACTATACTGCTATCCTTGTGGTAATATTTATTTCTATAGACCTAGGTGAAGGTATAGCTGTGGATTTGGTGTATCTGAATTTTCAGATATCACTTGACAAGGGACAACACAAAAGGCTGGTTTAAAACATTATTTCATAGATGTGGGGGGATAAGTTGGCTCATTGGATAGAAGAATGACTGGATTGAAGAAAGCAAGGGTTTTATAAGTGGGGCTCAATGAAACTGGATTAATGTCACAAACAAGTAAGGGCTCAGGATTAGGATCTTTGATCTTCCTGATCTACATCAATGACATAGATGAACAAATGGTCAGTATTACTTAACTCTTTAAACCTGTAATTTTTTGTAAATTCTGCCAGAATTATTTTTATGATTTCCTAATAATTATCACCATACCTTATAAAATTTAAATTTTCTTAATTTTGTATATAATAACATGGTTTTGAGTAGTTTTCAACCAAACAGACATAAATTTTAACGAAAGCTGTCACCATCCAATTGGTAAATCAGGATTTTTGGCCATATGCTGGCATTGTCCACTCGGGTTTAAGGACTTAAATTTGCTAATGATATTAATGTCTTGGGTGTTACTGGTTGTGAGGATGCTGCTGCTTTACAAAAGGATTTAAGTTTGATGAGTTGGGATTATAAATTTCAATAAATGCATAGTTATGTACGTGTTTTATCATAATCTATATTATAGGTGTAATTTTGAAGGGAGTAGCCTTAACATTGTTATGGCAAAAAAAGGATCTTGGTGTTTTTGTTCATCAGTCTCTTAGCCTTAAGCTGTCCAAACAATGTGCTGTTGCTTGTGGCATGTTAAATAGGAACTTAGGTTGTATCTACATGAATATTGCATAAAAGCTTAAAGGGCCTATAATGTCATTGTTCAAGCCACATTTAGAGTATTGTGTTCAGCCTCAGGTACTTTACCTTAGAAAGGAGATTGAATTGTTGGAAAGGGGTCAGTGGGCTAATAGTACGATACCTGGAATTGAAAGGTTGTCATATGAGGACAGGGTAAATCTTCGAAATTGTCTGCCCTTTCGAAAACAAGAAAAGAAAGTTGGATGGGATATAACTGAGGTGTTTAAGATTGTTAAGAGAACTGATAGTGCTGATGCATCATCATAAATAATAATCAGAATGTTATGACTTGGAGATAAAAATATAAATTTTGATAGATCTTCAACTAAAACCATTTTAATTATTATGTTTTAACATAATAGTTGGTCTTTAGAAAGGCTACCTTTACTGAGGATAAGTTGTATTGAATTCTGTAAATTTAAGTTTTAAGAGAGTTTAAGAAAGCCTTAAAATATTTAAATTATAAAAGTTGGTTTTTAAAAAAACTTTATTAGCTTGGAATATTTTTTAAAGTTTAATTTAGTGGAAGAAGTCCTTTTTTGCCCTTATATTTTATGATAATATCACTGTCATTGTCAATACGTCAGTGTAGGCCTATGCTGCATCATGTCCAGCTTTAGCTACAACCGGTTTATGAAAATGTACTAAGAGTCTGAATTTGTTTACCTAATAATGAGACGGTACAGTATTTCTCGTTCTTTAACACCTGGAGCGTCTGGTGCCATGATTTTAAGTCTTAATGATCAGTAAAAAAAACTCGTTATAGACACTTAAAAAAAATGTTTGTCACATTTAATTTTGGACTTTGAATATTTGAAAGAGATTTGAAGATATACCAACGCCACTTCTCGTGCTGCCGTCTAGTGTAATAAAATATTTAAATCGGATATATTATAGATAAAAGCAACTTAGTTTCATTTAATTTTTTTCCATAACTTACTTCACAAAATTCCGGTACTTTCACTCAGATATTTTTTTACAAGATCTATTGGAATAGCATACGTTAAAATTAGGGGTGTAAGTTGATATAAATCAATGACGCTTATGCAACCATTTCTTGAATTGGCATTGATATGATTAAACTATAGCTGAATTGGAGTATAGTACCCCAAAAGGGAAGCTAATTAGTTGTGATGACTTAAAGGTAGTGAGATTGTTAATTTAAGAAAATTAATTATACAGAAATGTAAAATTAGTATGTGGCGTTATCTAGTGAGAGTTGGTTTAATTTTAAGATATAAGTTTGTTATTTATAGTTAAAGTTTTGACGAAACCATTGACGTTCATGCAACCATTTCTTGAACTGGCATTAATACGGTTAAACTATAGCTGAATTGGAGTATAGTACCCCAAAATGGAAGCTAATTAGTTGTGAAGGACTAAAGGTAGTGAAATTGTTAATTTAAGAAAATTAATTATACAATAATCTTAAATTAGTATGTGGCGGGACCTAGTGAGAGTTGTCTTAACTTTAAGATATAAGTCTTGTTATTTATAGCTAAATTTTTGACGAAACAATAATGATAACATAAAGCAAAGAGCACAAAGCTGAGTAAAATATTGTTCATCTGGCGCACTGAGGAAAATGAGCAACTAGATGCTTACTTGAAGTGTCCTGCGTCGTCACAGACCTCTTATAGGTCTGTATCATTCGAAAATTTCCTTATATGAATGTTTGTGTCTATTTCTAACGAAAATGGAGATGGATTAAGACCACAGTGGAGTATTCAGTTCTGTGGGTTTCTTCTTCTACATAAATCCTAATTCTTTGCATTGAAATTTTATCCATAAAAACTATATTTACAAAATATTATAATTTTGAGATATTGGCCTGGTGGTTAAGGCGCACGACTTGTAATCTAAGGGTCGCGAGTTCGAATCCCTAAAGTCGTTATAAGGTAGCGATTACTTCCACTTTTCTTTGGTAACAGATTAGCCCAAAAGTTGGCAGTGGGTGGTCATGACTTCCCTGTAGTCTGTCACTGCCAAATCAGAGACGGCTAGCGCAGATACCCTTCGTGTGATTTTGCGCGAAATAATAAAAAAAAGCATATTTAAGATATTAAGATATTCAGCTTTCAAAATATTATCTGAGTAAGCCACTAAAAATAACCTGAATACAGCATAATCACTATAATTTTCTTCAAACGGTAGGCTTATAAGAAACTGCCCTGCATGTAAAAGAACGCCAGTGAATTGTATTGGAAGTTGGGAACCTCTTCCTTTTGTTTTTGGTTTAAATAGTTCAAAAATAGTTGAAAATGTAACAAAAAGGTTAAAATTTAAAAAAATTACACAACGTTACGATAAACCAACTTGCCAATCATCAGATGTAACACTAATAACTATTAACCTTTACAAAGAAATAAGTCTTTGGAAAAAGAAGTCAACTTGACGAACCAGTAGATTTCATTTCAGGGCAGAAACATTTTTCAAATTCATTGTTGTTGTTATTTTCTTAGTGCAAGGCTACACAACGGGCTATTTGCACTTTGTCCACTGCTGGGAATCGAAACCCAAATCTTAGCATTGTAAGCCAGTGAACTTACTTTTGACACGCCGGAGACTTTCAGATATATAACGGTAATCCTGAGGCTGTGTTACACGTAATTGAAATAAATTATTTAATTTTACCTTTACAATTACTGTTTTCCTAGTTTAAAATTATAACTAAAATTATCCATATTTTGTTTTTTGTTGTTCGTTTATGATTTAAATAGAAGCATTTCTATAGAATTAAGGAAAACAAAGACAGTTGTACGTTTCACAAAGATTTGACTTTATTTGCACATATGTTTATGAAATTTATAGTTTTCTTTGTTTTCCTCAATTCTTTAATTATAGAGTTGCAGCAGGTACCGACGCTTTCAGGTATTAATTATATAAACGTTTTTCTGGTTGGTGGCTTAGGGAGTCGAAACAAAAATTTTTGCCGTGAATGACGCCTTAAAGATACGTGGGTTACTAAACTTTTAGGTCAGAGAACACTTGGATTAAGGTATAGCCATACCTGATTTTAAATTACTGACCATAGAGTAGGCAGCCAATCAGTAACATCAATTGCCACAAGGGCTTTGTTCGAATATTTGAAATCTACTTTTATTAAGTGCTCACAACTGAAGTACAGAGTGTGTTCAGCAATAACATCACACCTTGAGCTCCAGACTTTCATTCAACAGCCCGAAACGTAAACCATTCGGCCAGGCCTGGCTCTTCAAGAAGTCGAATTTATTTATAGATTAGAGCTAATCTTTCTTCTGAGTTATGAAATGAATGATTTATATCTCTAATACGCTTGGTTTGGTTACCTTACTGATGAGTTACTTAAAAAAAGTGTTTTTAATGTATTATTTATTTCAGAAATATGAGCAATTTGCTCAGTTAAAAGGAATAAATATTATTATTATTGCTAATATTTATAGATGTCAACAGCTATATGGTTAAAAAGTGATTAATAGTTAATAAGTTTACGGCTAGTCTGTCTGTTTTACGGATAATTTATTAAAGCATAACGCATAATTCATTTTCCCTTAAAATTCTAAAGTTTAAATGGTTTCTAGAGTTGTACTATGTGGTTTGTTTTGAATTTCGCGCAAAGCTACACGAGGGTTATCTGCGCTAGCCGTCCCTGATTTAGTAGTGTAAGACTAAACGGAAGACAGCTAGTCATCACCACATACCGCCAACTCTTGGGCTACTCTTTTGCCAACGAATAGCAGAATTGACCGTCACATTATAACACTGGTGTGACGGGGATTCTAACCCGCGACCCTCGAGCGCCCTAACCACCTGGCCATGCTGGGCCTTGTATTATCTGTACACAAATGTTTAATATCGTCGATTCCGTGTACAACCCTGTTATTTTCTTCTAACCAGTCTGAGTCAAGCGTGATCTGGTGGTAGCGAGTCCGGACTGTGTGTTTGGGCATTCGTGGCACGCATTCCGTTACTGCGAAAAAGCGCTCCGCATTTTGGGAATTGGGTACTATAAGATTGACTGTCAAATTACACTATTCGGTCAGACAAAAGTAGTACAAAACTTAGCGGTGAGTGCTGTTGACTAGCTGATATCGAAATGTAGCCTTGTACGAAAATTGTAAAACAACAACAACAAAAATAAATACAACAGGACAAAAGCAGAAATTATTTTGCGTAAAGCGGCAAAAATAAAATAAAAATAAAAGCCACTTGTTTGGATAAAGTAATAATAATAATAATGACGTAAAAGAGATAAGATGAAGGTGAGAATTTTGTACTTCCTAAGGCTTTCAGTTTTTTAGACAATTCTATACAGGGCTGCAAGCGAGAGCGAAGAAGCACTCAACAAAAAAAAAAGGGGGTTAGTTGTTATTTTAGTGAAGAACAAACGATTGCTTTTAAGCAGAAGGCGAAGAGTCTGGAAGACCGTTAGATAAGATAAAGAGTAACTCTGTCTTTTGTGGTAAGGATTATCTTTTGTGGTAAGGATTATCTTTTCTTATTAGTTACGCGTGAAGCTGCAATAAATCAAGTTTAAGTCGTTAGTTATTTTGTATATTGTACGTAACTGATATTTTAAATCGGTCTTATAAATAAACAATTGTGGTTGTATTTACATTAAGTTTCAGTTTTCTTATTGATACTGAAATTTTTGTGGATAATTAAGATGAGAACACAACAGAAACACGGAATAAAGAAATTAGGACACTATCCGCCCAGCTATTATACAATAGATATAGTTTTTCATTTTGTTTTCATTTGTCGGATTCAGTTGAGTTAATGGATCGTGGATATTTGTGAGGTATATTACAATTGTTACAATAGTGGAATAATCAATGGAATTTAACACCGCCTTTAGTTAAATATATAGTAAAAAACTATATCTCGAATTTATTGAAAAAAAAATTGTATTTTGATTAAAAGGTAATCTGTAAATCTATACATACCTTTGCCTCAAGATACTTTTGAAATGTTGATGAGAATCGAAGCACAAACTTAATTTAAAAGTGTATTTATACTTATTGTTGGACAAAAGATGAAAATAAAATATGGTAAGCGTGTACGTTCACTTTAAACTTTACTTTCTAATTAAATTCCAAATTGTAGCGTAATTTTGGTTTATTGTTTTTGAATTTCGCGGAAAGCTACACGAGGGCTATCTGCGCTAGCCGTCCCTAATTTAGCAGTGCAAGACTAGAGAGAAGGCAGCTAGTCATCAACACCCACCGCCAACTCTTGGGCTACTCTTTTACCAACGAATAGTGGGGTTGATCGTCACATTATAACGCCCCCACGGCTGAAAGGGTGAGCATGTTTGGTGGGACGGGGATTCGAACCCGCGACCCGCAGATTGCGAGTCGAGCACCCTAACCACCTGGCCATGCCGGGCCCATTTTTTTTTTTTTTTGGTTTAATTTGGGTAGCCCATCTCTTTCCATATTATCTCAGCGCGTGAAAGTTCACACCTGTCACATGTTATACATGTATAATTGTCTCTGCGTTCTCATTGATTCATCGGGTTGCACTTTACTTAGGACAAATAAAACAACAAAAACACCTTTCAAGCTTAGAAAACGCATTTCTTCGGAGGTTATATAATCGAAAGTAACAATATTAACTGTTTTATGGTGTCATTTGATACTTTATGATCCCTAGGTAAGGGCTGTTTAGCATCTGAGAGACTAGGCCTATAGATCTCACAACTTTTCGTGAATTAAAAAAAATGTAATTGTAAGAGTTTGTACATATTTTCTACTCATTTGTTCAAATTAGTTCCATGAACGATCGCTAGTCGTCATCTTTAATCCCTTTAAAGTTCAATTGTGAACTGTTAGCCCTACAAAAAGAGAAGACCTATAATTGTAAACCTATAGTCGATTA